GAGTACATCCTAGAAGGGGAAGAACAAGACATTGGTGTAAGAATCTCTGCAACTGGTCTGCGTACTCTTAGAGGGCAGTAGTGCACACTGAAGTAGTGTCCTTTTTTATATATTTTGTAATACGTTCTGTTTGAATCAAAACGTGGGATACATTCCTTTTACATAAGGGGAGTCATTTCTCCCCCAAATAAATGGGGAAGATGGGCAGATAGCAACAAGAGCATGAGTGAGAAGGCCAAAATAGAAATTGGGCGAAGAAATGTCCCCAGGTATTTTTTTCCTTGTATCCACACAGCAGACACAGGGATGCATGGAAGCATCTGATTCCATTTCCTCAAAAGTTGTGTGCTGACTCAACAAGCCTTACATTTGTTTAATCTCAGCCTGAGCATCCAAGGAAGGATTGCAGACTCCATCTAGATGTTGCAATTTTTTTTCTGAGAGCTTGGTAGTATTCCTAGAATGTACTCCACTGAAGACTGGACTGGATTTGATATCTCATGGTGACCCTGTTTAGTTATCCATTTTTTTTTTATTTTGAATGTATATATCCTTCCTTGCTTTAAGAAAAAATATGTCAAGGTGTGGCACTCAAACGTTACAATGCAAACCATCATCATCATCAAATTATATAAAGAGTATTTCAATGATTAAAAAACACCCTCTCTATCCCACAGATCTAAACTTTAAAAAAAACATTCAAACAGGAGAGATCATGGTCTGATGAGTGCCTAAAACATATTATAGTTTCTCAAATTCCAGGGGAAAGAATATTCCAAAAGGTAGACCCACTTCGAAATAATCCAGGGATGACAATCTGTAGGTTGCAGTTCAACAGCTAAGGCTGCCTCAGCAGCTTTGCAATCACAGATCTGCCCCTGTCTATACCCTCCTCCATACAGTAGAGTTTTTAAGCCTTGTGAATCAGTGTGCCAATCAGCTAAGTTGACCAAGTCATTGGAAGTAGGGAACTTAACTAACCTTTAGCTTCTTCTGGTATACCAGCTGGCTATTTTGTATGGAGAACCACCTCCTGCAAAGAGAAACAAATAGCAGGAAGGAAAAGGACAGATGAACCAAGGAGAACAAAAACAGCTTGAAAGAGGATGGACAGCCACCTCTTGTCTTTCAGAATAAGTGGAGACTTGGAAAAGATTCCGAAAACAGTGACTAAAAAGCTTTTAGGTACAGTATTGGATTTGACAAATAGTTGTCACATGGCCAATTT